GCATAATAATAAAAAATGTTCATTGTGGTAAATGAAATAATAATTTGATCTAAGTAAGAGTTTTTTTTTTCTTCCCCATATGTAAAGATCCTTACGTGATAGAAAAAAATGAATATTATTTTCGAAGTCACAGGCCTGTGTAATTGTAGCTTGCACTCACAAAAGTGTTTGAATTATTTGGTGTTTAGATTAAAAGGTGTTATCAACTCAACCAGCTAAGAAGATTATTTTAATGTGCTTATAGTTCAGAAAGTCAGTTAAGTTGTATTAGTTACTAGGGGAAAACTCTACAAAACTTGTTTGAGTGTGGTATTTTGTACTTTAATGCACAAAGTTTATATAGTGTAAAACTAATCATGATCACTGCTGCTGCCCTAACGTTAAGTGACCTGCTTAGAATACTCACATATGAAGTGATATTGTTCCCAAGTCCCTAATGAACAGTTTAATGGTGCCGATACTATAACCAAAGAAAGAAACTCACACAGAAAACATATACTTTAACACTGCTCTCTGAGATGACAGATCCATTTCCTAAATACCTTTCCCTTTGCAATGCATAGTAATATGTACAACAATCCCTTCCTTTTTATTTATATAGTGGCACCATCTATAGTTCCCTACTCTAATTTCATTTTTGCATAGTTTAATGAAGTTTAAAAGGCTTCTCACTCACACATGCTACTATAGTATATAGACACAAGTATATAGATAGGATATTGTATGCTTTGTGCATGTTATTATCTTGTGTTCTAATTTAAATATTTGAAATAAATACAAATTCACTAAAGTACTAACAATAACCCTAGCAAAGGTTAAAGTGAACTTTTATTGATATTTCAAATCGTTTACCCCCAAAATAAATACAAAACCCACGTATAAGTACAAAATTTCTTGTTTTTTATGTGAATTTTGTACTTATTGTTATAAAAATATAAAAATTAAAAACTTAAGTCAGATAATAAAACATAATTGTTTGTGAAGTATGCATGTGAAAAGTGCATGCTTTAGGTAATTCAATACTCTATCTAGACCTATGCATTTGTCTGATGATTTCTAACTTGTTATGTAGGTTTAGTAGTAATACAGTTCAGAGAACAACAGAACAATGAAATCAAATAAACTGTAAACTCTTATGAGCTTGAAGCTAGTTAGGATAAATTGTAATTTTCTGTTACAATTTGCAGTCATTGTAGAAAGAAAAAAGGGTAATTTATTTTATGGTTGTTACACATGAACCAGTCCCTCATGTTGTTAAGGTAGAGAAAATAACTGAAATATAAAGTTTTAATGAAAAAACTTGTGATATTCATTTAAGAAGTCCTAGAGGTTATGCAAGTGAAATTTGAAACTGTATTTGTAATCTTAATATGAAAATCACCTTATGCTCAGACTAGTCAGACCATGAACTCCATAAATCTACAGACCAATCTTTAATACAAATACTTAATTTATAAAATCTTTTAGTGTGTGTGTGCAAAAGACGTAATGTTTATATGGAAACTGGAAAGGTCAAATGGCAAGTAAAGACCTTGGACAAATTATGGGTGTAATACTGAACGTTTGAAGCAATACTTCACAATAAAGTTAATGTAGCATAAAGCAAGGTCTACTGCTGTGTTAAAGCAATTACAGAATACTGATGCAAAGTACAACTTATTAGCTTTTGTGTTTTTTGTAATAATGTATTGTGATAATGTTAAATTTACCATTTAATTGCAGTTACTCAATGTTTATCATTTGTGTGTTTTTGTAATTATTTCCAGTATTGTTTATACACGCGCACACACACACAGTAGGTATGTATATATATAAATGGCATGTCCATAAATTGGTATGTTTTAGGTTCTTGAAAATTTTGTTTTTAAAATGTTATCTCAAAACCCTGGTGATGGGTAGTTGTTTCAAAACATATAACATCCAGGTCTAGATATAAAACTACTTGCACCATTATGACCCTTGGTAATCATAGAATCACACACAAATGTCAGAAGTTTGGGCTCTTATGAATATTTAAATTTTCCCTCAATATTTCCAAGATTAAGAGAGATTGGTGTTATGTGGTGTGAACAGTAACTTTTCAAAAGAATGACACATTTTAATCACTGTTATGAAAATTTAGTTCAAATTAGTGACTATGACACAATGGTGATCAGTAGTATGGAATTAAAGTTTTGTTTGTTGGTAAAACAAATTGTGTTTTTAAAAACCTATGTTTGAATTTAATTTTACAAATTAACAATGCTGCTTAGTAAAATTTGGTACAGCTATTCTTCCATTCCTGAAATTAAAATTTACTATCTGATACAATGATAGTACATAAATGTTTTTGTGTGCATGAAACTTTTTCTGTGTTATGTTTTTAAGTTGTTCTGTCATTTTAAAGTTTTCATTCTGTATCATAACATTTCAGTATTATGTTTTTTAAGCTGTTCTGTCATTTTAAAGTTTTCATAACACCCCCAGTAATAAAAATGTAAATCAAAATGTCAGTAAATTCAATGAGTGATTTTACTGCAGTAAGAAGGTTATTTCTTTTCTCCATGTTTATTGCCTAGATCATCTGTTTTTCATCAACACCAGTTCATTTCTTTTATAATTTGTAGATAGTAAACTCGTGACTTTGATTGGGGTTGGTAATGAAAGATTGAACAATCACATTGTTTTAGATAAAGCATTACTATGTCACATTGTTTAATGCTAAACAAAGTATTAAAAAGGAAGAGCAAACAGCAAAGAATTTACATATACTCTCTGAGAAAAATGCAATATACAGATCATGTTATTTGTGTTCAATTAGTTTTTATGAGTATCTATTTTATCAGTAGAAATAACAGTACTGAGTTTGGCAGTGGCTAAAACAAGTAGTATTGGCATACCTGTACTGTTGGACTTGGAATCTGGCTATTGGTTCTTGAAAAGTTTTGGAAACATCTTTGAATTTCATGTCTTGATAAATATGTCATTCTTGTACAATATGACATCAATATATATATATATTATGCAATGATTTATTGACATTTATCTTCACTAAATACTGTGATATACTAAATTTGGTGAATATCCTTTCTGTACATTAAATATTGTATTTTAGAAAGGTTGAGGAGATTATATTAAAACAATTTTGGAGTCTTACCATGTCTGGTCGTTCTCTAGCTGACAGCCATACATCTTGACATTAGTGTCTCATCATACTTTCCACTCCATGGTAAGGCTGTTGTGTTCAAAGCACACCACTTTTTTTTCTAAATCTAGTGTATAAGAAATCTATAGGTGCTGCATCTGGTGTCTTGATTAGTATGTCTTCACATTGAATAGCATGAATACTTTTTTCATTTTCCAGTTGCCTGAAGTATGAAGTGATTGAAAAACTTGGTTGTGGAAGCAATTTGAATACTCACTTTTCAAGACTATTGTATGCTATTGCCTGGAGCATATGGCTGGCTTTTGCCACCAACCATTGTGTTTTTGGTGTCTCACCTGTTATATGACATTGCAATTTGCTTATTATGGCTAGGGTACGACTTGTTGCAGGTCTTTTGTTTGGGGGGGCCCTGTTTCCACAAATTGATCCATGTTACTTTGTTTTCCAATGCTATTAAATGCAAGAGATGTTTTCATCTTAGATATTCTAAATCCCTGATCTGAATACATCTTTATGGTCTAAGTGTATGAATATGTTTTGTTGAATATCACTGTTTGTAAGACTACTTTTGGTAATCAAGTCCATTTTGGAGTCATTTGTTTCTACCAGACTGCAAGTTATTGTGAAAAATGTTCTAAAAAAACAGTCTAATATATTCAAGTTGGCAGAGAAATTATGAATTAGTTATTCTAAATAACCGGTGTAATATATTCAAGTTAGCAGAGAAACTATGAATTAGTTATTCTAAATAACCAGTGTAATATATTCAAGTTAGCAGAGAAACTATGAATTAGTTATTCTAAAAAATCAGTCTAATATATTCAAGTCAGCAGAGAAACTATGAATTAGTTATTCTAAATAACCGGTGTAATATATTCAAGTTAGCAGAGAAACTATGAATTAGTTATTCTAAATAACCGGTGTAATATATTCAAGTTAGCAGAGAAACTATGAATTAGTTATTCTAAATAACCAGTATAATATATTCAAGTTAGCAGAGAAACTATGAATTAGTTATTCTAATATCCCTTTCTTAACCTGAAATTAGTAAAGAAAATTTTTCAGTTCAGATGGTAGTATCTTTTTAAATGTGTGATGAAACGTTAGTAGTACTTGTGATTTTTTATTTTTGTAGTGGGACATCTAGCAATGAGAATAATATGTTTGAAACAACAATAAAATACACTAAATTCTCTTATAAGTAAAAGTTGACCAGTTTTCTAGACTTAATTTCTGTAAACAGAATTTGAGAATAAAAATACAAAACCTTCATTACTTCACATTCTGAGAACATTTTACTGTGATGAGTTTTTAAATGTGAACACTTCTTTATTTGTATTGTTTCTGTGACTCAGCTTACTGATATCAATGTGAACATTTCTTTATTTGTATTGTTTCTGTGGCTCAGCTTACTGATATAAATGTGAACATTTCTTTATTTGTATTGTTTCTGTGGCTCAGCTTACTGATATAAATGTGAAATATTTTTGTAAACAATCCACATCTTCATTTCTTGTCTATTTTCAGCAAAGCATCTGACATGAAAAGTAAGTTTATTACTTATTTCAAATCACTTTAGGTCTTGTAAAGTTTTGGCCCCATAGTAAGCTTGACTTGCCTCAGAAAATTGTGGAAATTCCAATATTTTAAAAATTAAAAAAAAAACTTTTTGATAGTAAGATAATATGATATATTTCAATTTCAGCAAAAAGAAGACCCAGACAGATGGACAGACTTGAGAAAAATGGAGATAGATTATGATAAACGTAGAAATCAACTGATTAAATACTTTGGTAAGTTTATAATGAAAATTGTTTATTATCTTAATAATCAGCTATTCTAAGAAATTAGACGAAATACTCTGATATATATATCGAAAACTTAAGGTTCCAAAATAGCATTCAAAACTAACAGAAGAATGTTTTATGATTAACCAGTTTTATAATATTAATTTCATTGCCAGGTTAACATGCTTTTAAGATTTTAAAGTTATATGTAATAGTTTGTTTAAAGCCAGGGTTGATATTGGTAACTTTATATAATTGTTTCATTTTATTATGGAGTTTACATATCAAATGTATAATCTTTTAATAGTAGTAAAAAATAAATAAGATACTGCTTGTTACAGAGTCTGTAAAATATGCTCAACAAGTGCAAGTGGAAGAAATCCCTTTACCTTCTGCACCCAGCATGCCATTTGTTGGTAAGTATAAACATAGTAAAACATTTTGCCACAGTTATATTTATATCTTGGTTATTGCATGACAACATTTTGTAAATTTATATTTCAGGTTTCTGTGTTTTCTTTAGGTAATTCTTTTTTGTTATCCCATTAAAAATTAGCAATTAAATAACAGTTAATGTGTACAGCATTCTAGGATATAACAGTATAAGCACAATTTTAAAATCCAATATTTTGATTGATGAAGGCAGAAATATAGAATCTAATATTCCAGTTAATGTAAGTAGTATTCTAAAATTTAATACTCATTTAGAAGTGTGAAACTATAAATACTAGAAATCTGAATGTACTAAGTGTATCTTTACATAATTTGGCAAGTTGTTACTAAATATTAAGAGCCAGTTGTGATAAAAAAATTGATATTTCAATAAAGAATTTTAACTCAAGATTTGTCTAGTCTCTCTCTATCTTTTCCACTTATTGTAATCGTGTTCTTTACTTTACCAATACTGCTGAACATTAAACATGCCCCTTCATTTCACACACTAGTATTTAATAACTTGTATGCCTTTATAATTGCAGAATAGGGGAAATTTTGTGTTGGAAAGTTCTGTTATGTAACCCACCGTGAATTTATGAAGCCATTACTGAATCAGTCTAAATGCAAGGTGATTTTAATGCTAAAAATAAAAGTACTTTTTTTCAACTTTGTTTTCATATTTCATCTGTATAAGCTCTAGAACCTCTTAAATAAATATCAAAAGTTTTTATCTTGGAAAAAACCTTTTTTTAGTCTGTAAATGTTCATGACTTGTGCACTTTGACTCTTTTTTACTGAAAGAGTTAAAGTGGGCAGCATTCTAGAATCTAGTAATGTGGGCAGCATTCTAAAACATAATATTCAAAGCACCATCCCCCCCAGTGGCACAGCAGTATGTCTGTGGACTTACAACACTACAAACTGGGTTTCGATACCTGTGGTGGACAGTGCAGATAGCCCATTGTGCAGCTTTATGCTTAAATACGAAACAAATCAAAGCACCATTCTGGAATTTGATGTTACATTATAGATAGTATTGACATTCTATGTTGCAAATCTTGCTATATATGTAATAGAACTTAGTTGATCTCCATGGAAGATCAATAGCAAACTTGGAAGTGAAGATTTTGTAGCTTTGAATTTTAAGGTGCAGACCTATCAAACCTTTTTTTTTTATTAGTTTTTGCCATTCTGAAGTAAGTGAAGTCATTCAGAGACTGTAAGTAATGAATTGAACCTTCTTCACAGTTCCTGCACAGATTCCTCTGCCAAATGAAATTCCACTTCCATCTGCTCACTTGCACCAGCCTCAATCAATTCTGAAGAGGTCCTCTGCTTTTGAGTAAGTTTTTTTGGAGAATTAGAAACAATTGTTAAAAGCAAAGATATAAGCAACTTACTTAACTTTAAAACCTGAAATTCAATTTCTAAAGCATCTTTAGTTTCAGTATTTAAGGTTTGAGTTTCGTTTTATATTGTACTACATTTGTGTGGGCATATATGACGTATATATATATATATATTTTCCTTCTCTATTTTATATATATATATATATATATATATA